GAATTGATGCCAAGGAAAATGGTGGATTTGAAACGTGCCRGCTTAGCCCCCACTGTGAAAAAACAAAGTGATCTTTGCTATTTACCAACCCATGCCTCCCAAGTTGACAAATACAAGGGCCACCATATTGCACAACTCCATGTGGCTCCACTCACTATTTTTAGCAAGGCAGAAGAGTAAGAACTCAACAAATGTTCTGGTTCTTTTCTCCCCTAACTCTGCCTGAGCATCAAAAAACAAAGCATTAAATAATAAGTACAGTATTTACTAACAACTTCAGAACAATCATAGAAGCTCAAGATATGAAAGGATGAATTTGTAAAATCAAGTTGATCACAAGGTGTCCAAAGGAGAGCACATTCAGCAAGCACTGGCCAAAGCACTCACAAATGCCAGGTAGGTGGTAGACATGGTTCTACTTGAGTTCTCTGTGTTCATCTTCACAACTCTATGACATAGGTATGGTCATTATCTTCCTTGTTACCCTTGGGTTACTTAGAGGAGGCATAATCCAGTAACAAGCAAGTCCTATGAGAGCAAGTGGCAAGGTGTGATTCAAAGGCGACCACCTACTTCTTAACACCACATCCTTGACTATTTATATTACCCTCTTGTAGGCACAGTCGATCAATGTTTTTTGCTCTGCAGTTGGTAGCAGTTGGGCCCTTTTCTATTTCCCTCAGAGGGGTCCAGGTGACCTGAATTAATTGTTCATCTGCATTAAGTGTTTAATGAAGCCACAGCAAGGAAGCAATCTTGCTGCACTGTGGAGAGGACCCTTAGATGGAAGAGACCTCACATCTTGCTCTGGGAAGTCTGGGAAGGATTAAGGGCCTCATTAGAGAGGCACAGTCTCCACAAGTGTCTCAGAACCCTCCAACATCACCTAAGGGAGACAAGGAAGCTCTGGTTCTCTAGAAGTTCCTCCCTCGCCTGCACGCTCATCCTCTRGGGTTGTAGAATGAAAAGACCAAAGAGAAAATCTTGAAGCCCCTTCCCTGGAAGCCAACAACAAAACAAAAAAAATTCAGAGTAACTTGAGACCTTCTCCAGTCCTCCCAAACCCAATAGAGATAGGAGATACTTTTAAAATTCATCCCACTCTAAATACAAATTGCCCAAATTTCAGTGTCTTCCTCTCTGTACAATAGAGTTCAAACCTATTGTGTATATATGTTGGGGAAGTAAACTGAGATGACTCGTGACAAGCCGAGCATGCTTGCCTTCTGGTAGAAGACCAAAGAATGATCGCATCCACTGGCCCTTCTGGGATAGAAGGATGCACTTAGGTCCTACCCCATATTCATTATTCTTTATTTGCAGACCCCTCATTTCAATCAGGGCTACAATATTTCCAGATTAAAAAAAAATCTCCTTCCCAGACTTCTCTGCAATTAAGTGCTCAGATTTCAGTTCCAACAAAAGATGTATAAACAAAAGACTGTAGGATTGTGAGTGTCCCAGGAAATGTATCACTTCCCTAAAAGTAGGGGGAGCTAGCATTTACCTTTGACCCATACCCTCTGCACCCCCCCACCTTCTTCCTGTCTGAAGGTGTAGCGATCATCTTGCCACCATAAGAACAAAAATATAAGGTTGGGGTTGTGGCTCAGTGGTAAAGCGCATGTGCGAGACCCTGGGTTCGATCCTCAGCACCACATAAAAATAAATAAGTGAAACAAAGGTATTGTGCCCAACTACAACTAAAAAAATACAAAAAAAAGAACAAAAATATAGACTGATCATAGAAGTAGGGAAGGACCCTGAGTCCTAAATAACATCACTTGATTACACCAACTTGAAATCCCTACCTCTTGGCATATCAGGGTAGAAAAAAATAACCCTTCACTGGATTTTCCTTTGTAGCTGAACACACTTCTTACTGATATTTGCCCATCCCAGTGTGAGGTTCTGAAATAAAAGTAAAGAAATGTTGGGCTGTTTGTCCCTGATCATACCATAAATTGATTGGTGTCAAAGTCAGGCCTGCCGAATATGAGAATCTAAAATTTCCAACCCAAATGCTCTCCTAATAGATTACATTCCCAGGAAAATTGTCTTAGTGTCAAGAATCAGATGGTTGGAGTTATAAAACATGTACGTGGAAGCCAGTCGTGTTCTGGTGTGAGAAGCTCCCTTCCAGAAGTAGTCAAGTTTATTTTTGAAAACCATGGATTTCATTTAATCTATGCCAAGAGTCTTTTCAATCTTGGGGCAGCTCACACATGAAGCTCAGAAGAGGAACTGTTCATCTATAGAACCCAGCTGCAAAACACAACTTTATCCTCTGCAAACTCAGAGAAGCAGCTCTGAACCCCCCCCCCCCCGAGAGAACACCAGCCCATGAAATCAGCAAATAGAGCCGCCCATTCTGACATCTGTCCTGAAGAAGATCTCTGACTCAAAAACAAGATGCTTCTGAACCACTAATAAATATTTTATAATCCGGTCATTTAGGAAGTCAAGGTTGAATAATATCATCTTATAAATGTAATCTTTGCAGTGCAAAATTGTTTGGGCTAAAATACATCATTTCCTTTGGACTGTTATAATGTAATGAAAACATTTGCAGGACTCAAAAAAATGCAATTGATTAACAAATGCAATTAATAAAACCATATCCAAAGGCACTTATTGAGAATTTGCATTTATAATTTCCAGCTGCTGGGTGTGAGTTTGGTCAGGAAGTTAAGAACCCCTGGGAGAGGAAGGTCCTTTGTTGGGAAAGAAGCGCATGCTTGGAACTGCCCAAGTGGGTGTGGGTAGTTGTGCTTAGAACTAATCTCACCACCAAACAGCGGGGATGATTTCATAGTAATTCCCCATGACCTTGGCTATGTTCATGTCCCTGTTCCCCTGGCCAGACCCAATTGATCCAAGAAAACAACCCAGATTGTGACAGAGTCTTTCTCATGGGAAGTTAGGATTTGAACAGAGATATCGTGTTGGGAAGTCAAGTGACTGGCAGCCTAGTGGAATATGAACCCACAAACTATTGTCACTAAGGTCCAGGGACTGGCAATTTCTTCTCTCCTAAGACCTTCTCATTCTGTGATCTTTCCCTGAACTTTCCTAACAACTATACTTGATCCAGACTGATTCCATTTATGTTGCTTAAAACCAGAAATGCCTTAGTGAATACACTTTACCTTATTGTGCACCAGCTTGCAAGCCCACAGAGTAAGAAGGAAATAACGGGGGGGGGGGTCTTCTAGTTCTTTCCCGCCTTTAACAAGCAATCCCAATCTTGGGCAAATAGAGGGTGGCCTGGACTTGCCCTCTAACTGTCTGCGGGTCTCTAAGGAAGGTAGTTTCAACAGCTGGCTCTCATGCTTGACACCAAGCACCTTCTTTCTCGTGTTCTTTCTTCCCCTCTTGCAGTGTCAGCTCGGTGGCAGGTGGTTCAGGTGGCAGGTGGGCTTTGGTGCTGGGCTCCTGGGGTAGAATCTGTTGCTGCTGCCTTCTGGCTGTGTGACTTGGGATATTGTTCAAGTTCTCCATGCCTTGGCTTCCCTATCCTTGCAGAGGGAATGAGCCCAGTTCTTAGCTCCTGGGGTACTTGTGAGAGCGGAGTTAATTCACCTAAAGTGCCCAGAACAGCGCTCCATTCCAGTCTCTGCCTCCCTTCCTCCCCCACCACTCCACAGCCTCCTCTTGTTTTCAGGCACAGCAGCCTACACATGTCCTCCTCTGCCTACAATTCGACGGGCCTTTGTACATTGTGTTCTTCCTGCCTGGGAGCACCTACCCCCACTCCCCACATCCACCTACTGATGCAACTTTCTGACCTTCCCATAACCACACTCTACTAAGTAATTTTTACATTCTTTCCAACAGGAGGGGGAGTCTGTATTCTCTGCCCCTTGAATCGGGGCCAGTCAAGTGACCTGCTTTGGCCAACAGAATTAATAGAAGGAACACTGTACCAGTTTTGAGCCAGGGCCTGAGGAAATCTGGATTCTCCTTCTCCTTCACCTTCTCCTTCTCCTTCCCTCTCATTCCTCCAAAACACCAGCCAGAGGTGGATAAAAAGACCAAGGACCAGTCTCCACTATTACTCAGCCTACAACTAGGCAACCCCTGGAAGGACAATTGCCTACCTGACCAATAGCTGTCCATCAAGGCATAGTGGCCTTGATGACCAGCAGAACCATCCAGCTGAGCCCAGCCCAAATTGCCAGTTCACTGCATTAAAAACTCAATGCCTGATTGTTGTTTCAAGCTGCTAAATTTGGAGATGATTTGCTACATTGTTAAAATTGACCAATAACACACCTTCTCTAAGCCTCTGTTTCCTCCCTTATATAAAGAAACAATGAAAATAGAAATAATAAAACCTACCTCACAAAATGTAGGACAATTAAGTGAAATAATGCTTGTAGAGTGCTCATRTGACATTAAATATGACATCGCTACAAACAGCCACAAGTATTATAATGATGATACATTACTTTGAATTCTCTCTCATCTGTCAATTTTAGAATAATTTTATCTAATGAACACATTATTGTAAGGAACTGAGAAAACATGTGTATTGTGCTTTGCACTGTGTCAGATACAGACAGAACACTGACAAGTGGTCATTAGAGATGTGCTGTTACTCCTGTTCAATATTACAGACGACGCCTTCATCTTCCCTGGCCCCTTTAAGCAATCCTCCAGCACCACCCTGTCCTACCTCCAGCCTTCAGGCTGCCTAGTCTGGAGGATTATGCCTTCAACCTTCATCTCACACCAACACCACCAGCCTGAGCAGCCCTTGGAGTGGAGGCTTGGGAACCTCCCAAGTTGGCAGGAAGGAACTCAATATTGATACCCTTCAGGGACTTGAAATTCAGCCCCTTGGTGAGCCTTAGCCACTAGGGGGCAGCCTCAGCCACCAGCCAGGCAGAAAACAGAACCTGTTCTGTGGCTCTTTTTTCCCTTTTTTGGATCCCAGAATTTGGGAAGCTCTTGCTGGTCCACTGTCTGAGGGCCTCATCCCCATTGTGACCACTTACCTGTTCATATCCCACTTTGGACAGACACCAGTGGCAACTCTCCCTGCGCTCAGGGCAACCTCTCAACCTACGTGAGTGGTTTCATAATTCATGCCTGCCCATCAGCAGACAGATTTAGCCTGCTGCCTGCTGAGTCTGGAAAAACTGAATATTAAAATATCCCAGCCGCTTGCCCTTCTGACGCCCTCGCCTCTCCCGGATTCACATGCAGGTGGTTGCCCAAGCAATTCCAGGGACACCCATCAATTTGTCAATTAATAGGTTGTGAGTAGCTGTATGTGTAACTTTTATCAAAACAGGGAAAGGAGTATTCAGGGCCACATGTTAGGTGTGTGACCCCAGAAAAGTCCTCGTCTTCTGGYTTCTCGGCCAGTGTATTTTCCTTTGCACCACGTGCATCTTTTATTCTCCAGGCCCTTTTTGTAGCCCTAATTGTAAGAAAGAGGAAACAGGAGTCCTATCTGAAGTGTTTTACTGAGCAAAGTAGAGCAAAAGACCTGTAGAAAACTTCTCTTCCACCCAGGACAGCAGTAGGGAAGAATCAGGGATTAAAACCTGCCCTTAAAGAGGATGAGGAATCAGAAGTCTCACGCTTGGTGAAAGGTGTGTTTGGTGGGGGGGGGGGGGGTAGATACCCTCTTTCAGAAAAGTCTAGCTGACTTCCCCTATGCACTTCAAAGACGTTTTCCACCCCTACCTTTGATGACTTTTAAAAACTTCAAATCAGATAACTTCTAGGCTAACTCATGTGCCCCACTACCACCATTAATGACCAGCTGCCAAGGCGGAGTTGGGGTCCCCACAGATTTGAATGAATGGAAGCTCTTCTTGGCAGATTTCATTTTTTTCACCCTGTAGGAACCTGGTGAGCCCTGAAAGCAGGCTCCAGCACCAGAAGGACTCAGGAGAGTGTGTGATCTAGTGCAGGAGGCAGGACCCCCATGAGGGAAGCCAACGGAACGGCCAGGAACACCAGGTGCTCATGGCAACCCAGCCTGGGAAGTTCAAGAGCTGAAGGAGACTCTGCAGGAATCCCACCAGAGACCCTGAACCTCCTCAGCCACATGCTCAGGAAAAAGGGTGCAGTGCAGAGCAGAGTGGGTCAGGCACCCTGGGGCTCCAGCCCTGTCTCTGCCATTTGCTGTGGGAACCTGACCAGCACCTGTTCTCTCTCGAGCCTTGGCTTCCTCATGCATGAAACAGGAATAACGATGTCCTCATCAGAGGCTTGACACAGACTCACACTGGCCCTCTTGCATTTTGGGTATTTCTCCCTGACACCCCCTGAGGGACCTAACCTGGGACTTAACCGAGAGACTCTTTGGAAATGACTGGGTGACACTGCTGCAGCCACCTGCACTCAGGGAAGAAGGAAATGACTCAGTCACTGCTGGTGGAGGAACCCCTCCCTGGATTAGTCAGCAGTTACCCCAAATGCGATGACTAAGCACATCTTGAGGTGGGCTTTGCCCACTCGTCTCCCCTCCTGGAGGGGCTCATGATGACCTCTCTTCAGAGGGGCCTGACCAGGAATCTAGGAACGCCTGTCATATGTCTATCATGTGGGAGTCTTATTGCTCTGGTGACATGTCGCCACAAGCTGAGTGACTAAGACAGCACCACTGTGTTACCTTTCAGTTCTGGAGTCAAAGTCCAGAGTGAGTCTCAGTGGGCTGAAATCAAGGTGTCTCTGGCGGGCTCCTTCTGGGGGCTGAGGGGGGAAGCCTGCCTGCTCCAGCTGCGAGGGGCCATGGTCTTTCCTTGGCTGGGGTTCCTTCCTCCATCCCCCAAACCAGCAGATGGCCTGCGAGGCTCCCGTGAGTTCTCTCCCTGCCGCCTCCGTCACCCCGTAAGCTTGCTTGTCATTGCACTGGGACCCTGTGACACATCACTGTTGAGCCCCGGCTCACATCAGCTGACCAGCAACCTTGATTCCTTGGACTCTTCATTTCCCCCTTCATGTGACCTGATCTACTCCCAGGTTCTGGGGACAGGAATGCAGACATGTGGGGAAGTCCATTGTTCTACTTCCCACAACTTTTGCTCCAGGAGAGGGACTGGATGAGCTGAGGGACGTTRACCCCTTCCCTTCTGTGGTGGCCACTGAGCGGCCCTGTGGCGTCTGGAAAGCACTGGCATGCGGGGTGGGCAAGGAGCCTAGCAACTTTGATGTTCACTGCCGGAAACCTTGGGCAATTCACCACTAGGCATCACTTCCCTATTCACAAGATGGGACTCATCACAGCCAGCTGCCACCTCGCGTCACTGCTGGGTGTAGATGTGATTCCGAATGAGGTCTGCCACAGACCAGGCAGTGTAGTCCACCCTAGGTGAGGCAAACACAGCACCTGCCCTTGGAGCTCACAGCCCAAGCTGTGGTCACCTGACCAAAGTTCACCACACTTTCCTCTCAGAAGGGCTATCAGTCACAGCCCCCCACCCACCAGAACTCAGAAACAGAGATCCCTAGTGGCTTAAATAAAAAATACGCTCTTTCATATATATTTTATTTGAATTTTTTCTAATTTGCTTTTATTTTCAAAGCTTTTTAGTATTACTGAAGAGTTTTTATTGATTCCAAAATTTCCTCACCTTTACCCTTTGRCTCCTCATGTTCCTAGGTTTCCTTTCAAGATATTCTTGGACTTATAGATCATTTTACACCCCGTAGAGCAGATGGAGTTTCATATTCCTCTCTTTCCATGTAATGTTCAAGAAGGTTTTTCCACCGAGCTACATATTTTTCAGAATTATACTTATTAAGTGCCACAAAGGTCTTCATTCTCTTGAGGATACATAAGCGCTTCTAGGTTTAATTGTTGGTTTGGGGTGGGTTTGTCTGTTGTTTGATTTTTTTTGTGGAGCTATGTGTTAGGCTCTCGTGGATATCTTCATACATATACACTCTTGTCTCTTGAATTCTTTTTATAGATTAATTTCCCAAGAGTAGAATTCCACTTGATCTTCACCCTAGCTCAATGGTGTAAGTGGGACATAAATGAATCCAATTTTATAGATGGAAAAACTGGGTCCAAGAGAACTGGAACTGCCCTTTCCACAGACACACCTCGGGCTGGGGTTAGAACCCGTGGAATCCCCAGGTCTTCCGAGAACCACCACCACAAGGGAATGAGCAAATCCTAGACGTCCTTCCAAACCCCCGTTCACATCCCTTCCATGTTCCTCCCCCTCACCACAGACCTCCTGACCTGTATCCACCCTCAAGAGCACCTCCCTGCAGCCCTGCCCAGCCCCAACGACTACAGCTTAATAGGCCAGGAATTCCTGGACACTAGGAATGAATCTTTAATAAAAGGTTCTCCCCTGAAACTCCCCCACAGCAAGGACCTCCCTACCTCCTGGATCCATGACAGTGCCCCAGGAGAGTCCTGTTCCTACTGTGGGAAAAAGAGCCCAGTGGTTCAGACCAGGACTTCAGAGTTGAAATTCCTGGGTGCACACCCTGGTCCCACCACTGACCAGCCCTATGTCCTTGGACAGGTTACGGCACCTCCCTGGGTCTCCACTTCTTCCCTGAGTGCAGGTGGCTGCAGCAGTGTCACCCAGTAATCATAAGGACGAGACGAGTTAATTCTCCATAAGGGGCTTTTCACAACACCTGGTTCTCCTGAGTGGGAAGCACACAGAACCCAGCCACTATCAATCAACCCACTGCGTCAGTTTCCTAGGACTACCACAACAAAGCCACCATAAACGTGGTGACTGACAACAACAGAAATGGATTCTCTCACAGCCAGAGTCTGAGGCCAGAAGTCTGAGATCAAGGTGTTGACTGAGCCATGCACCCTCCAAAAGCTCCAGGGGGCATGATCCCTGGCTTCTCCCAGCTCCCCTGGTTCCTGGCAATCCTTCACTTAAGACAGGATAATGCTAATCTCTGACTCCACCTCCACGGGGCCTTCCCTGTCCCCGMGTGGGCTTTCTTCTCCTCACAGGCACCTCCATATTGCACTTAGAGCCCACTCTAATCCAATACAATCTCACCTCAATCTTTAGCTTAATTATACCTGCAAGACCCTGTTTCTAAAGATCTTYGTCTAATCAGGCTGCTAGAACCAAATACCTTATCCTGGGTAGTTTATAAACAATAGAAATGGATTGCTCTGGACTGGGGTTGTGGCTCAGCGGTAGAATGTTYGCCTAGCATGTGTGAGGCCCTCGGTTCGATCCTCAGCATCACATAAAAATAAATAAATAAAATAAAGGTATTGTGTCCAACTACAACTAAAAAATAAATATCTTTTTAAAAATGATCGCTCTGGAGGCTGCAAAGTCCAAGACGATGGCAGCAGCAATTCAGTGTCCAGAGAGGACTTCAAATACGGTACCTCTTGCTGTGTCTTCACGTGGGAGAAGGGGCTCTTCTATAAGGGAACTAATTCCATTCATGTTTCCTCTGTCCTCTTGATTTTGTCACCCTTCAAAAGCTGTACCTTTGAATATCTGCACATTGGGAACTAAATTTCAACATATGAATTTTCAAAGGACATAACATTTAGACCAAAAAATCACATTGCAAAGTTTAAGATGGGCATGAATTTTTGCTAACACTATCCAGTCTGCAATGCCTACCTCGTCTTTATCTTGGRTTAATCCCTGTGGAGGATTGGGATGTGACTGAAGGCAAACCAGCCAACCTAACTCCCTTTTGGTACCTTAGGCAGGCTTCTCCCTCCGCTGGGTTCACAGACAAGAGGCTGTGGGGAGTTGGTCCCCAGTCCTTAATACATACGYAACAAATGTCACTTCACAAAACTCAGCATCTTGTTATGTCCATAACATCCCAGTGCGAGACCATTCCCTCTCACTTTGCAGGGGAGGAAACCAGCTCTGGGGATGAAGGGGACACCTTGGGTTTTGCCAATCAGGGACAGTGCCTCCAGTCCAGGTTTTCTAATTGAAACCTGGCCCTCCATCCACAGCATCACACCTGTGCTGTCTGTCAGCTGCAGCAGATCCCTCTTAGGAAGAGGGACAAGACGTTGGTTTATGCCTATTGTCCCAGGACAC